CAAAATGAATCGAGAAATCGTGATCGTCGCTGTTATGGGAGCCGTGGGCTCCGTTGGAGGCTGCAGTTTCCTCGACGCTCGGCTAACCTGGGTCATTCCTCCTTAGTCATTTGAGCCGTGGGCCTCAAGCCCATTCCTCCTTAGTATTTTGGGCCGTGGGCCTCAAGCCCATTCCAACCTAGTCATTTGGGCCGTGGGCCTCAAGCCCACTACTACAATTCCTTTTTTCTTTTTTTTTTTAGGTATATTCAACCATTCATTTAAATTTTCATAGCATTAATTCAGTACAACTCCAAATTTGAAAGTTTATGTTAAAAATTTGAAAATTTTAGTGCCTAAATTATAAGTTTATGTTAAAAAAATAAAAAATGTTACCAATTAACTTTATAATTTAAAAGATGTGAGACTAAAAAACAATCATAAACTTAAAATTTAGTCAAAATAATAACGACGGTATGGAATAAAAGACAATAATTTTCAATCTTAGAAAAAAAGTATAATGACTTGTACCCATAATCTAGATTAGAATTCGAAACCTATGTGTCTCGATATTCTCGTGCACGGTCATGTTAATTACTCGTCGCTTCTAAGAGCAAAAATTATCCCCACATATTAGCACAAATAACTTCAGTATATTTTGTAATCGCTCAAATGGATCTTATAAAATTTCTTAACGGGTCATTTAACATAAAATTGTTAAGAGTAAAACACGTGTAATCTTGGAATTCTTACCGATCGAGCAACCAAAAATGAATGTGCACCTTATGGATATAAATAAAACTTTTTTTTTTTTTTGTGCGTTTCTTAGTTATCTTATTTTTAAGATTATTATCATTTTAATACATTTACCCCTCTCTAATTTACCATAAAATTACAAATAATAATAATATTAATAATAATAATAATTATTATTATTATTATTAGTTTTCATGCATTAACCGTCATATCACATGATTAATGATGTCAATAATGTCAAATAAATATTTTAAACTTAATATATCGATAGTCACATTAATTTTTATGTCTCTAATTTGTCTGATTAATTTTTTTTTTAACATAAAACATTTTTATTGGTACAATTTAAAAATCATTAAATCACTACAAGATCAAAAAGATTCGATATGCTCGTTGTTTAGCATAATGGAATAAAGTGTAAAGGAAGAAAAACCTCAAATGATAAATGAAATAAAGCACAATTATTCATTTTATTTTATTTTTTTAGTTCCATTAATCTTTATTCTTTCGCATGCGTTTTCTTTGTAATATTTAATGTAAACAACTTTTAAAACACAATTTATATTCTTAGTATATCAATGAATGTCACGCTTTTAATTATTTTTTGTTTTACACCATCTTTTTTATTAACAATTTTAGTTAATTGTATTAATATTTAAACTAAATAAAAAGAAAATAATTGAGTGTTTAAAATTAAAACTTTTATTAATTTGTTAATTATTATTTTATTTTTTTTAAAACATGTTTTTTTTTGTTGATCATTTATGCTTATTATTGTTCTTTGTTACAAATCATTTACTTAAAAATAATTACGAATATTAACTACTAAATAAACTCAAACAGCTAAAATTTAAATTATATTAATATATTTGTTAATAAAAAATAAAAATTACAAACTAAATACAATTAATTATTTAAGGTTAACTAGTGTAATAAAATTATTAAATTAATTATGAGAACTAAAAAATATTATTTATTTATATAAAATTCTAATTACATCTCTTTCATTTTATTTTGAATAACTCAATTGCTTACAAAATTAATATAATGAACTATTTAATTATAAAGAATAAATATTTATTTAATTTATTTTGACAAAAAAAATTATTAAATTAATTATTTACCAAAATGTATTATAATCATAATTAATTAATTAATTAAGTAATATTAAATAATATAATAAAATAGTGGGGGAGTAATGATCCGAGCCATGTGGTTCTTGGCCGTCCTTATAAAAACCGGCGGCTCCAACCTCTGTAACTCATAAAGACATAAACCCATTTTGGTTCTTGTTGTTCGTCAATGGCGCCCGTAGACCCACACTCTTACACTGATTCTTCCCACCCTCTAACTGTCCACATTTCCCTCTCTCTGTTCTTCGATTTTCCTTCCACCACCATTCATGCTTCTGCCCTAATTTCTCTCTCGACTTCGCACTCTGGTCCTCTCTCCCTCGATGCTCGTTCTCTTATCATTCACTCCGTTCTTGACCCTCAGTCACAGGCTCCGATTCCGTTCTCAATTTCTCCTCCCGATTCCATCAAAGGTTCTCTTGTCTCCGTTTCGCTCTCTGGTCAGTCCTCTTTTCTTGTGATTTACAGTACTGCTCCTTCATGCTCGGCTTTGCAATGGATGACTCCTCCCCAGACTTTCAACAAGACGCATCCGTTTGTTTACACACAGTGTCAGGCTATTCATGCTCGTTCGATTTTCCCCTGCCAGGACACTCCAGCGGCGCGTGTGTGTTTCTCTGCGCGTTTGAATATTCCCCGTCAACTATCGGCGGTGATGGCCGCGCGGAGTGTGGAGCGTCGCCCGCCGGGTGCTGGTGAGGGTTCGATGTTGGGCGGAGGGGTTGATTTGCTATGGAGCGGAGAAGGGAGAGTGGTGGAGGAGTTTGTGATGGAGCAGCCGATTCCGCCGTATTTGTTCGCTTTTGCCGTTGGAGAGATTGCGTTCAAGGAAGTGGGACCGAGGACTAGGGTTTATGCGGAATCGGTGCCGTCGGTGCTCGATGCTGCAGCGAGAGAATTTGCAGGGACAGAGGACATGATGAGGCAAGGTGAGAAGTTATTTGGACCGTACGATTGGGAGCGATTTGATCTGCTAGTGTTACCTCCGAGCTTTCCTTACGGTGGGATGGAAAATCCGAAGATGGTGTTCTTGACACCGACGGTGATAAAGGGGGATTCTACGGGGGCGCATGTGGTTGCTCATGAGCTTGCTCATAGCTGGACTGGGAACCTCATCACTAACAAAAACAACGAACATTTTTGGTTGAACGAGGTACCGTACTTCTGCCATGAATTGTACATTTTCTTTTTTGTTTGCTAATTTCGTTGCAATTTTAGCCAAATCAACTCGGATTTGTTCTGTTCTGTGCTAATCACTGATGATAAGATTCTAGCAAGAAGTGATTTGTGTTTGATTTTAGTGTCTGGTTCGATTATCATGGTACCCTAACTGAGGTTTTAGAGATTTAGAGTTAGATGATCGCATTATTCACTGTCTTGCCATTTCTTAGCGAAGAAGGTTTGGGAGAATATGGTCAAACTATGTGAGTTTAAGGAAACTCAATTTTGTTCTTGTGATAATTTTGGATGGATAGATCAGAAAATCCTAGTTTTGGGTATATACGTTTATGGTAAAAGGATTCAACTCTCCCCATAAGGTTAGAATGTAACGGCCCAACTCCACCACTAGCAAATATTGTCTGTTTTGACCCGTTACATATTGCTGTCAGCCTCACGATTTTAAAACGTGTTGGGTAAGAAGAGGAAGAGGTTTCCACACCCTTATAAGAAATGCTTCCTTCCCCTCTTCAATCAACGTGAGACTCACATAGAAGAACTCTATCACGTTGTTTTGACTATTAAGAGGCCTTTTTATTCCTCTTTCCTTCTTCTAATGGAAGTTTACTTTCTTCACGGATGGCCACAGGGTTTTACAACATATGCAGAAAGGAGAATTGTTGAGGTTGTGCAAGGGGAGGATGCAGCTACTCTCAATATTGGAATTGGTTGGAACGGTTGGAAAGATGATGTTGAAAGATTTAAGGATAATCTGGAATTTACGAAGCTAAAGACGAATCAAGAGGGCGTGGATCCAGATGATGTGTATTCTCAAATACCTTACGAGAAGGGTTTTCAGTTCCTATGGCGTATCGAACGCCAGGTATGTTAAATTTTTTTTTATTCGAATGATATCGAACTTTTATTTTTTAATGTTAGTATTTGTCCTGATATTTCTCCTCTGAATGTTTAGGTGGGCAGGCTCAAATTTGATGAATTCCTGAAGAAATATATCGAAACGTTTAAATTTAAGTCGATTGATACCGAAACGTTTCTTGATTTCTTGAAAGCAAACCTCCCTGGAATTGAGAAAGAAATAGATTTGGAACTGTGGACTGAAGGCACTGGTATCCCTCCAGATGCTTATGAGCCCGTTTCTAATTTGTACACAAAGATCCTGTCGCTAGCTAATGACTTTAAGCTTGGTAAAATGCCGAGGGAAGATGAAACTGCTGATTGGGGAGGGCAAGAATGGGAGCTCTACTTGGAGAATCTGCCTAAATCTGTTGAAGCCTCCCAGGTACTAATTTTTCGGATCAATATGTTTATATATCTCTATGCGTATGACTTCTAAGAAATGATTGAGATGTCTTAACTAACGAACTATGAATGTGTAGATCCAAGCGCTAGATGCCCGTTATAGACTCTCGGAATCAAAGGATTATGAGATCAAAGTTGCATTTCTTCAACTCGCAATTTCGTCAAAGTTCCGAGATTGTTATGTTGAGGTCGAGAAAACTTTGAAGGAAGTTGGGAGAATGAAGTACCTCCGCCCACTCTACAATGCTCTTACACAAGGTTCCGGGATGGAAGAGGATAAGATTTTGGCAAAGAGGATATATTCCGAAGCCCGTGAGAGTTATCACCCGATCGCTCAAAGGGTTGTTGAGGCCATCTTCTCCAAGAACATGTAAGTATTGGAACCTTAATTTGTCACCTACCATTAATGTTTGGAGGAGTCTCTCTAGCATTGTGGTCTAAGCCTCTCCGGCAAACTATTTTCCCAGCTTGTGGAAATCTTAATAACTTTTGAGTACGAAGAGAATGAAAAAAGAGGTGACTTTAAATAGATCTATGGAAGACGACTGCTTAAATACTAACTTCCTAACACCTTTAAATTGATCTATGGAAGAAGACTAAAAGAATGAGTAAAAGTGAAATAGCAATGGAATATCATATTATCACAAAAATTATAAAGTTTAAATACTCACTTTGATCATTGCTCGACTTCTTTGCACTTGTTGAATTTGTATGTCATTCTGCATTTCAGATATTGCATATACCAACAGAACGAATTAGGATGAAAAGAGAGAGATCATTGTTAGGTAGAGCAAAAGGCATTAAGAAGAAATGCATTCGGACTCCAAAATATACTCCACTGCTTCTTCGACGGTATTAACGACCTGCATGAATCGAAGTAGAAACTTGAGAGCGAGTCTTAATTTCATTATGTATCATCAACTTTCTACTTACAAGATCAGCTGGAAACTCGACGTGGTTTTCTTCGCCCCTGAAAACTCCTGTCCTTGTTAAAATAGAAAACCAAGGCCGTCCTGCCTGAAATCACAAATCGATATCGAACGGTAATAGCTGATTTTCCGATGTCGACATATTACAATGCCGATAAGATGATGAAATTATAAGGATAAAAAATGCGAACCTCTCGTGCACCTTTGATGTCTACCACGGGATTGTCACCAATCATATAAAATGTTCTAAAACCATTAAACTCAACATCTTCTTTGTTCACAAAATGATCATCACAGTGAGATGAGAGAATCTGTCTCAACACAGTTTCAACATTCTTAAACACAAGAGGATTTGGTTTCCCGTAAGATACATACTCGAGAGGTCTATGGTGAATCCTGTGAATCAAGATCAAGCTGTTTTAACGAATGCTTAGAATAGTAATAACTGTAACACAAAAGATTAGCTTCTGATTGGCTGCTGTCTGAATGCTATTGAAAAACCAGCAAAAATTATAGAACAGTTTGTGAGTGAATGTAAAGAGAGAATAATCTCACATATGAACCAAAAAGGAAAATGGACCAAAATGTTGACATCTTGTTTTCTGAGTTTTAAGCATCAAATGGAGGAAATTTTGACACAAGATGGGAGCTTTACCTATTAAATATACTTTCTAGTGCAATTTTAAAGGCGCCTATCCCAAGCCGCTTCAAAGGAAATGCAGCCTGCATGAAAAACCAAATCGGTACATTCTCAATTTTGCTGGCAGTTGCAGCCATAAAGCAATGGAGATGCAAGTAAAAGAAATAGCAAACAATTGCATGACACTACTAAGATTGTGACCTTGACAACATGAGCAAGATATATATTCTCGACATTCTCGATAAAAAAAGGTTAGAGATTCGAATCTCCACCTCTATACGTTGAAATGGAGAACTATGTGACCCTTTGTTGGTAGAAACTGCAGGCGTAAGCTAGAACTATTCTAAAACTATTTGTGTTGTTTACATGAGTAATTCATAGCTTAAAGAACCATTGAAACTAACCTGATATTCAAAATCATCTGCAGCAAAATATAAAGGCACTTGATTCCCATTCTCCTGTCCTGGAAGGCCTCCAGATCTTAAAACATCACATAGAACCTAATTCATTCATCAATGAGTTTGAAGCTTTTGCAAGAATGGATATTATCAAGATGTCAGCATCAAGAAGAGGGGCTGAATGCAAAGTTGGATTTCAATCTAATTGCGTTGAATCTGAACCTTAGTGGAAAACCTGGTCAAGGAAGCTCAAAAGGGAAAAGGAAAGATGGGAATCAAACTTACAAAGGAAACAAATCGGCGTTGGTTAAAATTTGGCCTTAAAATCTCGCAATTTCGACAACCGAAAAGGTTGAAAAAAAATTGTTGAAGATAAAATCAATTGATGAGTTGAAGGATATGCAATCAGCAACTCAGCAAGTCAAAGAATAAAAGGGAGAGAATGAATACTTGGATATCCCGGCCCCAATCAACAGGATCACTAACAACAAAAGCTGCCTTCACTCTTTCTGATAACACACTCTGCTTTCTCATCAACTTCTCGGGGTTGCAGGTCGAATCAAAAGCTTGTTGGGATGTCCAGTTCTTGTACTGGGATACAGGATCAATATTCTCAAAGAAGGAAGCGTACTCATCGAGGGAGAAAACTTTTCTGTTAAGGTATAGAAAAAAGCATACATACGTGATCCAACAAGCTCTGAATGAAAATGGACGAAAGTTAAACCAAGAAATATGGCTTAGAGCTTACTTGAAACCATACTCAGACATAACAAGAGCTGGCTGCCCTTTCCCAGTCGCAATAATAAGTTCGTTCTCAAAACTGAGATAAAAGAAATCAGCTAAATACCAACGTTAATAAGAAACATGATGCAAAATATCATTAACAAAACCTTAGTTTATCCAAAATTTGTGAGTTTAAAGCAGGTGGATATAGGAAGAGCTCACAAAACTTATCGGCCAAGTCCCTAAGGTATCTCTTTCAAAGCATCAGTAATTTAGGAGAAGATCCAAAGCTCACTGTGATGTCTCACATTGGTTATGTCTCACATTGGTTGGGGAGGAGAACAAAACAAGGGTGTGGAAACCTTCCCCTAGCAGATGTGTTTTAAAGCCTTGAGGGAAAGCCCAAAGAGGACAATATCTGCTAGCGGTGGATCTGGGCCGTTACACTTACTCTCACCATTTTCATGTTAATCTCAAAACAACCTTCAAATGGTCTTTCATTTTCCTTTTTAGAATGGGGATGAAAAAGGCTATATCACTTCAGAAAGCTAACTATCCATACGAGGAAATCTCCTGCAAGTTAACGTTCTTATTCTTTCATTTTGATGTACAACCTTGTCTACTTCAAAAGTATCGATATTGAGGGGAATAAGAACACTTCAAATATCTATTAAGTTACCTATTCAACAAACTTCTAAAACTTGAGTGACCCTGTACGACCTGCATCAAAGGTGTTGAAAAATGAGAGGTACAATAAAACGCACGAAATTAGTAAATCTATAAGACATTCTACACAAATAACTACCTGAGAAGGCAAGACATTCACTCCTAAAAGTTCACTCAATTCAATGGCACGTTTGGATTCTGGAGTACCGCCTCCTTTATAGGAAGAGGAACAATTTTACCATTATAAGACAGTACTGAATACAATGAAGAAAGGGCCACTCAATATTGAATACGGGAAACTCACCATTGGTCAAGAAAAGAAAAGGAACTTTCAAAGTACCTAAAGAATAAGAGCATCAATTATATCAGATACATAGTCAATTTACAGAACCATGCCCAGAAAACAATGAAGCAAAGCAATATAGATTAATCAGGTAGATGAAAAATCTTGCTGTTCGTCTAGTTTAGCCGTTCCGCAATCAACTAATGGGCGGATTGTTGATAAAGAGTGAAATAAACTGTTGTTCAATTGTTTCCACTAAAAGGTGAAAGGGTGCTCGTGATGGTGTGGAATATAAACCAAGAAAATTGTACTTCGTTAGATAAACCGATACCAGAGGACGTAGAATCCGCATATAATCTCTTCAAAGCTTTGCTAGATCCTCCAATAGGACGGTGGCCCCTTAGAACAACTCCATCGATGTCAAATGCAATCCCAAACGAAGAACTGTAATCGTAAGCTATTTTCACTTCTCGATCATCATTATCAACAGCAATAAATGGTAAATTTCATCTTTCTAATCAACAAATAAATAAAACACGGTCAATTTCTATGAAAATGGAGGGAAAAAAAAAGAAAACGGGACTGGAATTTGTCCCTAAATCCTATGAAAATCCTGTGATAATCCTTTACAACGCTTAAAGTAGCTAACCAAAGAATCAACTAAAATGCGGAGAATTCAGAGTAAGATTAAGACGACAAACCGTTCTAGTCGAGATTGAATCGGAGAGAAGGAATAGAAACCAGCAGAAGCCTGAGATTGAAACGAACGAATATTTCCTTGAGAAACTCGGAAGACAGTAAGAATTTTCATCTCATTTCCCCGCAACAGCCCCCCTCGCCGAGTTCTGTTGCCTACGACTGCGAGTGGCGCGCGCCACATGAGCGACCAGTGGTCTATGTTTTATGATAGATTTCAATGGCATGAAATATCAATTGTTGGTAAAAATTAATTTGTGATCTAAAAACAAAAGTTTAAAAAACATTAAAATTTTATTTTTTGTTTTTCAAATATGTTCTTTTCCGTAATTTCATTTTAAATCATTATTCAAAAATCTGTTTAATAAACACAATTATAAACCATAAAACTACTTGCAGATTTTTCAAAATAAATTATTATTCATTTATTCATTAAAATATTTTATGAGCTAGGTTTAGGCTATTACAAATAGTATCAGACACATGTGAGCTGGATTTGAGCTATTACAAATAGTATAAGACACATGTGAGTTAGATTTGGATTATTACAAAGATACATGTGAGTTAGGTTGAGTTATTACAAAAAGTATCAGACACATGACACATGTGAGCTGAATTTGGACTATTAAAAATCAACTTACATGACAATACCACATCACGATTTCAATTTTAAAAATCATTGCAAAACAAAACAATTAAATCACGTAATTGTAAATAAACTAAAAAATTAAAAAATTTAAATCATTAAACGACGATTTTAAATTTCCTCGTCAGTATGACGACGGCGACGGCGAAGGCGACTGCAACGGCGACGGGGCAGATGCAGGTGTAATGGAAGAAGGCTCAAACGTGTTGTCAGAAATTGGAACACTGGGCTCATCTTTAGTCTTATAATGCGGCATTCCGACGAAAAACATTTTATCGTCCCCCGACGATTCTTTGACCCTATAAAGCGGCATTCCGACCGAATACACTTTGTCGTTTCCCGATGAGTCCATTCCGTTTAGGTTACCACCGGCGGCCGTGGCGATCGTCGGAATGGAGCATAGAATTAGACCTACCAGCAGCGCGGAGGCGACTGTGGCCCTCGATGGAGACTTGTTGAAGAGAACCGCCATGGCCGGTGATCGATCGGATCCGTTAAATTGGTTGAGAGGATACAGTTATTTTGAAGACCCGTTTATTGCCTTGTTATTGTTCTGTCATTTAGTTTCCTTTTTATATGAAACTTGGGGATGGAATTAGTGGTGGGAAATAATTTATATTTTTGGTTTAGAAAAATATAGAAATAGAAAATTATATTTTTAGTTAATGGTTTGGAATTGGAGGTTTTTAGTCAAAGCGGGGGAAATGAAGAATATATATATATATATATATAATAATCATGAATTAATTGATATATTTTGGAGATATTTTTACTTAAAATCAGCTCATGATAATTACTACACGAGTATGAGTAAGATCTGGATTATTTTGTTGATCGAATATCTCAAGGTAAAAACACTTGTTTGAGATTCGAATCACTTCACAAGCAACATCGATCATGTCTACATTGAATGATTCTTCTGGGTCAAATATCTCAAGCCAATAACACTGGTTAAAGATTCGAATCACTCCATAAACAATATTGATCATGTCAAGCTTTAGTGATTCTACATGCAACCTAAATTACATAGTCATTGGTTAAAAGGAAAGTATACTACGTTTTTCAAGTCTATTTACAAATACAACATACATAACTTTATATAACCTCAAAATTAAACTAGGCATTCCAAGAGCTTTAACATTCTTACTCTATGACCATAATTAACGGTTATGTAAATGTAACCTAAAGTAAATAAAAAGTCTTAAAATATATTAATGAAATACCATAACTCTAAATTACTCTAGATTGTAATCCACCCCAAATTTATTATAATGAAACTTTATTATGACATTAATTGAAATATCTTTTGATAATTTCAACAGTGTTTTCTTCACATCTTTATTTAAAGTATATTGTATGATTGATGTCTCTTAGTTTATATAAAAAATTTATCACGTTATTATTTATAAATTAGTATAAAACATTAAACAATATTAATATCAATTTATGTATTTAAATTAATAATTGTATCAAGTTAAACAGAGAGAATCTTTATAAATTAATAGAAAACGCTAAACAATATTGATAAAATGCTACTATTTATTTAATTACTACTTATTTTAAAGTAAGCTGTTCCACTTATTAAAATATATAATTTTAATCGGTATAATTATTGATTTTATTTTAAAATATAATTCTAAAAAATTGGGAGTACATATTGATATTCGCTATAAGAAAAATTACCCAGGGAAAAATGATTTTAGAAAAAAAAAAAAAAAAGGAAAAAAAAGCAAGTCATCTCGTGGGCCCGGATCCAAACCAAAGCCCAAAAAAGCGATGTAAAACATGGTCCAACAAAGCGGTATAAAACGTGGCCCAACCACTCTCGCGCGTGTTCTTCAATCCCTCGTTTCGGTACTCAGTTCCACAATTCACACCGTCTCTCCGTCTGTGCTCCACTGCCGACGATCACTTTCTCTCCATTTGCCGGCGGAACTGTTAGTGCCTAAACTGCTGGTGCTGCTAAACCCTAGTTTTCCACTCTTCTACCGTCGCGGTCTTTTTCTCTCTCATGTGAGCACCATCATTCGTATCGCCAGCAGAATAATTCAACGGTACATGGTTCTTATTCGCTTTCTTTCTGAAAGAGGCTAGGTTTTGATCATGGATTAGCTTACCATTTCGTTTTTGGACACTTTTTTTTTCGATTACGGTCTTGGATGACAGAAATGTCGTTGAATTTTTTCGTTTCTTCGTGGGGTACTTTTGAATGCATCGTTCGTATGGGATTATTGCTGTATTGATCAAGAGCATACGTCCTCTGTTTGACTTAATTACAATTTTAAGCCTTGGTCTATTGAACCCTTTGCAATCTCAATCCTCACCTTCGGCTCTCCTCTTCATTCTCCCTCGCTGCCAATCTCTATTCTTTATCGGATAGCAGAATCTTATAATCCCCGAGAATCGCTACTCCCTTTCCCGACTTCTCCTGGATCGTCCCTCTACTTTAATCTCATTCACTCGGGCCGTTTGCTTCAAGGTTTAAATGTTTTTTTTTTTAAGAATATTTTGCAAGTTAAGGTTGCTCAACTCGAAGGATGAATTTAAAAAAAAAAAAAGAAAAAAAAAGTCATTCATTCATTAATACTACTTGTATTTGCTGAATCTTTCCATCTCTCTCAGTTAAAAAACGCTGTTTAAATCTAAAAAAATTGTGTTTATCAATCCATATCCACTTTCTTCTAGCTCCAGCATTCGATAAAAACCAATTTCTTATGAAGTAATCAATTTAGATTTCATCGAGAAATAACTAGAAAGCCTTACGAAAATGTTTTCTTGGGGTTCCTTATTCTCTTGAGCTTCCTGGGTTCTACTCGGCGTATTGGGTTCTACTCCACTGCAAATCTTCACTTTCCCTGAGCTTCCTGGTGTAACTTTAATTATATAATCTGGCTACGAGCCATTATTGTCTACCCTTCTATCGTTGTCTTCCTCTCGTGTAAGCACCATCATTTCTACCATCCAAGGACTTGGTGGGGTTGGGTTGGGGGAAAAATTGAAACTGCCCATGTTGGTGAATTATGATAATTATGTGATTTACCTTTCAATTTATGCACTCCATTTTTCTTGTCCAACTCTCTAAACGTGTTCTTTCAATTGGCCATGCTTTATTATATGTCAGTAAATCCTTTCTATCAAAAAGTATTTGTCATTAAGAACCGAGCAGTTGGCAGATTTATATCAAGTAACTTGTAAAGTGGTAGTTATCTTTATATCTATTAGTTTATTGCAACACAGGACATGGACCATCATGAAGATGATGGCCGCCCAGTGAGTGAAAGTCAGCCCAAGAGGGATGATGAGGTAAGATTGATGTACAAGTTCAATTGTTCTCATTTAGTTCTATTAGCTTTTTATTTATTCCATTCATTTACACTGCAACTGCCTCATAAGTAATTGGATATTGTGGTATTTATGGTTTGTAACTTCATCCTCACAACCCTGCTACTTGTAGGAAACTGCTGCTCGCCAGGAAGAAATTAAAAAGTCATTTGAGGCTAAAATGGCTCTACGACAAAGTAATCTGAATCCAGAGAGGCCTGGTTAGTGAATTATCTGTAGCATTTTTTTATGATCATGTTATTATTTGAGTTAGATGGTAATTCTAAATTTTTACTTCGCGAATGAAGTGTTTAATATCATGGCTTCAAGTGAACTGAATTGAGAGTCGATCGCCCATCCTAGAGTTCCTTTTGTAGGCTCACCACCCCTTCATGAATGAGGGCAGGATTATTCCAGAAAATTGAAGGTTTTGTGACCTCTGCCATTGAATTTATGGTATTTTGCAATTTGACTATGGTGAAAGTGTAGCTTTGTTAATGGTCTCATGAAGCTATTCAAGAGCCTTGTTGTAGTTGGTGATGTTGGTTTAATGGTACTTCTGATGATGAAACTTTATGGTTTCGGCATTGTTGAATGGCTCAAGAGTCATAAGGGAGATTGGGCAAGGAGAAAGTCTGCAGCCGCAAAAATGTCCAGATCCTAATGCTTAAGAAATTGTTGATGTTAGGTTTTTCCTGCTAAAAATCCAAAGTTGCATTGTCAATAATCTCTCTCTCTCTCTCTAATTGACGACAATATCGATCAACTTCAGCCGTTTCATGTGTTATTGCTAGTTTCTTGATGATTAAAAGGCATGCTGAACACATACTTTATCAATAAGATGGCTCTTGAGCCTCAATCACTTTGGGCTCATCCTTGTTGACAGTTTTATGTGGGTAAGGTAAAACTTGGGTAGAAGTGGATGAAATGAATAAAGGGGTGGTGCTAAAATTTCTATCTTGCTTGATGGAATATTTAAGGGGTGAATAATTGAAGATAGGCTTGTCGAAGTGCTTGGTAGATTGGTTGACTGTGGAATTCTTGGGGACGTGTCCTTAAGAATCTACCTTCTATTTTAGTTTGAAGGATTTAGTGGTGGCTCTTCTGTTGGGGAAGGACATATTACTGTGGAGGAATAGCTACCAACTTTATAGAACTTTGGGACGTATCGTAACTTTATCTGCCATTTGGTGGTTGTGATAAAAACTCATTTGTAATGATACCCCTCGCTG